CCGCGTCACTGCTCCATGTTTCTGGAATACCCTTGCGGCTCATCTACAGCTTGGTTCCCTTTCACTTATCCTCGTTATTCCCGAGATCTTAACTACTTTGCCTGGTATACAGGAGGTTGTGAGTTCAATCCCGAACCTGACACGTGCACTTTTGGAGTTTTAATGTTCTTCCCGTGGTCGTGTAGATTTTTCTTTATGTCCTCTGGTTTTTCTCTCCACATTTATAATCACAGTGCGTTTAGAGTATTTGGCTGCTATCAATTTGCTCATGATAAGCCACTTGGTAGAGCTATCATTGTGAGTGGGTCGCTTCTGAAAAAGAGGTCTATATAGCTCAGTGGGCCTTACCTGGTACCTATGCTTTTTTTGGGAGCCTCTTGCTGCCACATGTTTGCGCTGTCTTTTTCGATTTGTCTGTGGATATGTCACTGTTAAAACGCATATACAGTGTAGCTTTCTTGCAAACATACTTGTTCGTATTACATTAGCACAGTTTTTTTTATTCGAATGCATTTCTTTCATGAATATCAAATACTTATTTGTTAGTTGTGCAACATTACTTCAGAATCAGAATATTGATTTTTACTGGAGGAATCCAATGAGCTATGAAGCTCTTTTTCACAAACGTTTGTATCACAGCACCCTATTGATGTCGTTTGTCTTTGTTTTGTTGTTGCTGCGCTCACGCACCACGGATCTCCCTTGTAAAATCGCCGGGAAACTGGCTAAACGGGATCCATCATCCATGTAACGTGGGGAGATCGTCAGCGCGTGCCGTCTCCGCCAGCCGGCGAAGCGGTGCCAAAGCCGTGTCTGCCTGCTGCCGGTCCCTCCATTCCTGCAGGGTGAGCCCCAAGTCACTATCAAGTGATACCGGTGGCCCCGCCTGGTCCGTGTCCCCGGCGGAAACCGGCGCCACGATCTCGGGTTGCGCCTACACAACGCGGATCCGTCGCCGCAGGCGCACTAAACGGGGGCTGCCAGTCTGGACAATGCATCGGCGTTCATATGCCTGATTCCTTTCCGATGCACCACTCGATACGTGTACTCTTGCAGCCGCTCCAACCATCGGGCCATCTAACCAGTCGCTTGGTCAATGCGGAGTGAGTACTGCAATGCAGCATGATCTGTCTGAACAGTGAAGTTGCGGCCGTACAGGTAGGGCCGAAACTGCTGAACAAAGTAGACAATGACAAGCAGCTCACGGCATGTGATGCAATACCGCTGCTTGGCCTGCGACAAGACGCGACTTCCGTAGGCAATGACAACCTCTCTCCCCTCCTGAATCTGGGAGAGAACGGCCCTGATGCCCACGTCGCTCACATCCGTGTCCAGCAGGAAGGGAATCGAAAAATCGGGGTAGGCTAGGGGCGGTGCTTCTGTCAACCGCAGGCACAGTGTCAAGAACGCGTCGGTCTCTGCCTGGCCCCAACGAAACGACTGTCCCTTGGCCGTGAGCGCATGCAAGGGCTTAGCGATGGTAGCAAAGTTTTTGACAAAACAGCAGTAATAGGATACAAACCCCACGAATCTGGGTGTTGACCAATCATGGATGCACGCCGTTTTGTTGGGATCTGTCGTGACCCCCGACGCATTAACGACATGACCCAAGTATTTTACCGGGGAGCAAACCAGATGGCACTTGGAGGGTTTTAACTTGAGCTTCGCGTCACGAATTTTCGAAAACACCTGTCGCAACCGGGTTAAGTGCTCCTCGAATCTGCGAGCGAACACGATCACATCATTGAGATAGATGAGGCACGACTCCCACTGCAATTCCGCAAGTACCAGCTCCATCAATCGCTGTAAAGTGACGGGAGCCGTCTGTAAACCCATCGGCAAACAGTTGAAATGAAAAAGACCTTGAGGCGTTCTGAAAGCCGTTTTCGGTCTGGATTCGGCGTCTAGTGGTAACTGCCAGAATCCCGCCAAAAGGTCTAGTGTGGAAAAAATGTTTGCTCCTGCGAGTGCATCCAATGAGTCATCTATGCGCGAGCAGGTAGGCGTCCGCCAAGGTAACTTTGTTCAGCTGCCTGAAGTCTACGCAAAAACGCAAAGATCCATCCGATTTCTTAACCAATACAACGGGCGCCCCCCACAGACACGTAGATGGCGATATGATGTCAGACTCCATCATCTCCTGCACTGCCTGCTGCACATGCTCCTTCTCACTAGGACCCATCCTATAGGCGTTCTGCCAAATGGGTGGTGCATCGCCCGTATCAATGTGGTGCTCTATCAGCGTCGTGCAACCAACATCGTAGGGACCCTGACTGAACATGTCTGCAAAGTCACTCAACAAAGTCCTGAGCTCCCCTGATTCCCTTGTCGCCACATCGCTGTTCTGTGCCAGGAGTGCAACTATCCATGACATGTCCTCTGCGACGACAGACGGGCTGTCCAATTGCACATTGTTGACGGTGTGCGCCTCAGGGTTCGAATGCATGGGACTGAAATTTGCAATGTCCCTTCCTGAATTGGAATGGGTGTGTCAGCCATGTTAAGGACCTGCAGGAACAGTGGCGACCCACCACCAATGGTAATGTGGAGACAATGAGCGGTGCATCTGACCGAGAAGTGACGAACGGGGTGCGATATCACAGTGGCACCAAGGCCTGCGCTCCAGCCGGGACCGAGGCAGTAGTCCCAACCAGCGCCTGAACTCGCGGAAGCTGCTTCGGTTCTCCGTCTGGACGCAAGAAATACAAGCGACCCCCCCGACGGGGTTTCAATGCAGCCTTCGGCCGTCAGAATGCGAAGGGGCATGTGACTCAACAGGTCCGTGCCCAGCAAGCAGGGAACCGTGAGCACACTGGAGACCAGTACCGGAGCACGTACCTCCAGCTCCCCGATGCAGACCGGCACTACCACTTGGCCCACTATCCCCATACTTCCCCCATTTGCGGCTATGTACCTGGCCTGCACTGGCGCGAGACGACGTTGTCCCTCCGGTAACAAGTCAAAGACACGCAGGGATATGACGCTGGTTGACGCACCCGTGTCAACCAACACACGGACTCTAACCCCTGCCACCAAGCCTACCAACATGGACGTCCCAGCCGTGATCGCCACCACCCTTCTGGCCAACCGATACCACTTATTAACCGTGTCCGGCCACGGGCCCGGACCATCAGCGGGAATCCTAGCTGCCGCCCCCGAGGAATGAGATGCGTGATGGGGTGAACCTGGGGTGGATGGTTCCGGCCGAGTGTCCGAGGCATCAGCACTCGCCTGAGTCAGAATGGCCACGGACCGAGGCTGACGATCCCAGCTGGTCGTGCCCGGTGCACTCGTCCTGCTGCAGCATCTGCAGGCGATGGCAGATGACTTTGTCGGTGACCCGAGGATGCTGTCCTGCCTCGCGAGGTGCCCAGCGCCGGGGTCGGCGCTCTGCTTCCCGCAGGATCCTCGGGTACTGCCGCAGGGCTGCCACCGTCTCTCCCTCATCCTCCTCTGCCGGCGGCGCGTGTCTGTTTGGGGGCTGTGGCAGCCCCTCGACATCACCGCGATCCCATGCGACGTGTGCCACACTTCACGCGAGTCCCACAATCTCTTCGTAAGCACAGAGATGTTGTGCAACCCATAGCGAGGTGCAGACTTCCTCCTCCACCACCGGCAGCAACACTCACGCCTTCTGTGCCATGGCTAGGAGCTGCTCCGCCACCAGCGAGTCCAGGCCCGGCTTGTTGAGCCACAGGAATGCGGCTTCTGTCAGTGTCAACAATTCCATCCTGAAGACCAGGAGCGATTTGGATGCTTCACACTGGCGGTTTTTAAACTTCTGGCACCCCAGACAGGGGGTCGAACACCTCCGCCATCTCCTTGTAGACGCCCTGCAGGGATCCTCTTTTTGCAGGCGGAATCCAGTCGAACACTGCCAGTGCGGGGTCGTCCACACAGTGGGCAGCGTTGTCAGGGCTTGATTCTCCATCCACCTCATTTGCCGGGCGGCCATCTCGAATCGGCGGATGAAAGCGCGCCATTTTCCCGATCGGGACGCGAACCTCTGTATTGCGCCCAGCTGGCGGCTCCATCCTGGTCCTCCCTCCGCGGGCTGCCTCGGCTGAGTTTCGGGCTGAATCTCGCCCCCAGTTGCTGCTGCTGTCGGAGGATATTGGGAGAACAGACCAAAGTTTTCTCCCAGGTCCTGCGCGGGACGCACGGTCGGCGGTATCGCTGATGCTGCTCCATCCCCTGAGAGATGCTTCAGAGTGCCTGGTCGGGAAGGCTGACCGTGGCCCCCGTCTCCTCGCTGGGGAGGTGGTGCGGCTGAAGTTCCCCCCGCTCGTTCGACCTCAGGACCCAGCCGGCTAAGCAGCGCGGTGACTGCCTCCAGCAGCAAATCCATCCTCTGATCCCTAGAGGATGATCTGCGGCGGCAGCGGCGCTGGGTCTGCATGGCTGGGTTGGTGGAGGAAGGTGCCCACACGGGACGAGCAGCTGCCACGGATCTCGTCGATGAGCCGGGAGTCAAATCCCGACTCATCGGTTTCGTTTTGGAGCAAATCTCGTCCCGGGCACCTAGAGCGTTTTCTGGCTGTGTCTCCCCCCTTGGGATCTTGCGTCGGTCGAGGCGAGACATCCCACCGCTGCCATCAGATGAAGAGAAGTCGGAGACTGGTTAAGCACTTCTTTATTCTTCAACCCACAGCAACACTCGTTCCAAAACCAACCTCGAACACGCTTCTCACAGCCCCTCGTTCCCAATACACATCCTCGCCTGGTCTGGGTGACGTCAGTGCCCTTTAACCCTTGACCCCCGTCTAGTGTATTCCTGTGCGTGTGATTGGTGCGTGTTATGCTGAGTGCGGAGATTTCATGTCTGCGTGGTGCGTGTGCATGAGGGTGGCTCGCAGGTCCCTTACACACGTAAAGAAAACAAAACTTTTGTCCTTGGCCCGGGTAGTGAACACTGCTGCCGGTGTAAAACTGACCATGGTGGCAGCGGTCATCACCACACGCAGAACCGATCGCTCCCTCGCTTGCCCACCTTCCCCCAGGTACCAGATCCACACGGGGCTGCAGCACTCCATCATCCGGCCGCGCCAGCCCAGCTGCCTGCCGCTGCACCTGCCCACGCTGCCAGAGCGGCTGCGCGACGCGGGCTATGCCACGCACATGGTGGGAAAGTGGCACCTGGGCTTCTGCCGGCCCGAGTGCCTGCCGACGCGCCGCGGCTTTGACTCCTTCCTTGGCTCGCTGGCGGGCAGCGGCGACCACTTTACACATGAGGCGTGCGATGGGCCCGCGGCGTGTGGCCTGGACCTGCGCACGGGCGAGCGCGTGGCGCGTGCACACGGGGGCCGCTACTCGACCGAGATGTACGCGGCGAGGGCCGTGCGCCTCGTGGAGGAGCACGACGCGGCGCGCGGGCCGCTCTTCCTCTACGTGGCCTTCCAGGCCGTGCACACGCCCCTGCAGGTGACTCGCCCTGTCCGCCCGCCTGCTCGCCAGCTCGCCCGCACGCCCGCCCGCTTGCCCGCCGACCCGCCTGCCCATCCGCCCGCTCGCCCACCCGCTCGCCCATTCACCCACCCGCTCGCCCATTCACCCACCCACTCGCCCATTCACCCACCCACTCGCCCATTCTCCCACCAATTCAACCACCCACTCGCCCATTCACCCACCCACCCCCACCGAGTGTCTCGTGGTCCTCACCTTCCTTCCGATGTGTGTGCGCGTGTTTATTTTCAGGTTGCACTGTGTGATGGTACAAAGTTTTCACTCCACCGTGCTTCTCCAAAAAACAGCAGCTTCCAGCATGCGCAGCGAAACATCGCACGTGTGCGGTCGGGCATCATTCTCATTGTCACGCGTGCATGGTGCGTGCGTGCGTCGGTTCGTCCGTCTGCGTGTGTCTACTCGCCCAGGTGCCGCCGCGCTACACCGAGCGCTACCGGCGGATCGCGAACCAGGCGCGGCGCCGCTACGCAGGGATGCTGTCGTGCCTGGATGAGGCAGTGCACAACATCACGGAGGCGCTGCACCGCCGCGGCCTCTACAACAACTCGGTGCTCGTCTACTCGAGCGACAATGGCGGACAGCCGCTCTCCGGGGGCAGCAACTGGCCACTGCGAGGACGAAAGGTGAGCTCCAGCGACGGCTGCCCTGGGCTGTGGGTTGGGGGGGGGGGGGCCGTGCCAATGCACCAATGCACACACCTGCCATTCGCCACGAAGTGACGTTGCATCAGCTAATGGCGCCTGTGCCAGGTCAGGTGCACTTTGTGGCCACGTGAAATGTCGAAGGCTCGCTGACAGGAGGTTTCAGGACAGACCCAGGTGCCATAGCACCTGCCATATACTTACACACACAAAGATCACTCCCACAAGTGCTGTTAGCGAGACCCTATGAAGGGCGACACGGCACATGAATAGGTGGGTGGCCAGCACTACGCCCGGCAGCCTTTGCATCCTTAGCAGCGATTTTTACACACCGCACCAGATACTCAGTCGACCGAGGGAATGCCCAGGACCAGTTCAGATAATCGTATCTGGTGTTAGCCATGAGCGGGAATTGAACTTGGGTCGCTGGGGTCTTGGCGTAGCTGTGGGGCCCGACGTCCACCCCACCGCCCTCGCTAGGCAGATGGGGCGCGATGTTCACCCATTCCGCTCCCTCCACCGCAGCGATCGGCTCCCACTGGGCCCCTGCCGACCGAGTGATTGGGCCCCCCGCGCTAGTGCCCTCTCTGAGGGACATAGCTGTACTGCTGGCTCACCGCCGCGCGGAGTTAACCCATACACCCGTGCACACCGCAGCTATCGCTAACACAGCACACAGCGGCACGCTCGCTGTCACACCTGCGAGCGATTCCCTCAACGCTCCCTCACTCTTGCCGCGCGTTCGCCCATGCAGTCGCTCCACACAGGAATCACAGACACCATGCCTATGCTCTGTACTAACTTTTATTGTTGGCGCAAACCCCGCACTGCCCGGAGGGAATATTCTGTGAGCAGAGCCTAAACTACTGGTGCCCAAGTCCCCAGATATTCAGACACCCTATCACGTACCTCGCAGCTGTACTCACGGCATCACACGGACGCTGTGAGAGTCGGAGGGAGGACGAACGAGAACTTTACCTATCACTGCCTCGTGGTGGCACTCGCTAGCTTCGCACAGATGCTGCGAGTGGCTCGAGAAGGCAGGGCGGCAGGGAGTGGGTCTTGGCGGCCAAGAGGTTGAAGACAAGATCTGATCTGAACGGTCCCAGGCTCCCCTTTTTATCTCCCTTGACTTCAAAAATCCAAGGTTACGTTATCTCGGTGGCCAATCGTGCGCCTACCTGTGATTATCGCTCGTTTTTATTCCCTTACATGGAGCACTGGGACGGTTATTTCTGCGACCCATTGTCTATCCATCCATGCTCATTCATTTATTACTCGTCCTGGTTAATCTGGAAGTACGTCCGGCCGGCGAATACACACCCTGCAAGTGTGTATTCTGTCTGGGGCTGGGGGAAGTCATGGCGCTACGATCCCCTGACCTCATGGTCTGCTCTGCTCGCTTAATATTCCACCCCAGCCCCCCCACAATGTCATGCATGACTCATTGTGGCTGGCCCAGTGAACCTTTTCGCGCCCATACAATTATAAGCCAACTCAGGGGCCCCGCAATGTGACCTGTCCTGCGAGGGTCGGCCAGTCTCCTGGCACCGGGAAACCGTGGGACTTTCCTCCTAGGGACCCTTTGGATTAAAACCCGTTGTGACAGACATCCCCCGCCAGGACACTACGTGTGCGCGCTGCGTGTTTGCGCTAAGTGTGGGGGCCAGGGGGGAGTTGTGGTGCTTGCAAAGTTGCTCCAAGGCCGTGGCATCACACAGCGCACGAACCACTAGACGACCGCACACAAGGACAAAGATCCCCCGTATAGCATTAATAAACTGTTGGGGCAAGTGCTGTTAGCGAGCACCTATGAAGGCCGGCATGGCACACGAGTTTGTGGGTGGCCAGCACCACGCCCGACCACCTTTGTCTCCCTAGTGGAAATTTTACACACCGCACCAGGTACTCATTTGAGGCTGAGTCGACCTAGGGGGAGTCCCAGGATCGGTTCACATAATCATCGCTGTGTTAGCCATGAGCGAGAATCAAACTCGGGCTGCCAGGTTCGTAGCGAAGCGAGCTAACCGCTGCACCACCACTCCCCTGACACACAGATGGACATGTGTCCAAACAAATCAGTACCACTCACCAACAGCACCCATCCCACAGGCTGTGTAGGCTACACGGTGTGCGTTGGTGGTGGGTGTATTGTGGTTGTCGCTCTTTGTCTGTGCCCCCTTCTCCCCCCGGCCCTCCACAGGGCACGTATTGGGAGGGCGGCGTGCGGGCACTGGGCTTTGTGCACAGCCCTCTGCTGCGGCTCAAGGGGCGCGTCAGCCACGCGCTCGTCCACGTCTCCGACTGGTTCCCCACGCTCCTCGCGCTCGCGGGGGTGGGCGCAGACGCAACCACTGCTGACCCATCCAGCCCCGCGCTGGATGGGCACGACGTGTGGCGAGCCCTGAGCGAGGGGGCCCCGTCCCCCCGCACCGAGATCCTGCATAACATCGACCCCCTGTACAACCGCGCCCGTGGGGGGTCGCGCGCCGCCGGACACGGCCTCTGGAACACGGGCGTGCAGGTGAGGGACCGCCGGACACCCACTGGGTTGGGCGAGTGGGTAGGCGGGTGGGCGGACAGGTTAGTGGGTGGCTGGGTGAGCGAGTGAAAGGGCATGTGGGCATGGGGGTGAGCCAGTGGGTGGACAGGTGAGTGGGCGCGTGGGTGGGTGGATGAGTGAGTGGGTGTGTGGGTCAGGATGTTGGTCGGCGAAGTGGCCAATGGTTTTATAGTAAGATTATCAGTCGGTCGGTTAGTAAAGTGGTTAGCTGGTTAGTTAGTAATTAAGTTTGTAAGGGGGGGTAGCTGGTTAGCCAGCAAGTCAGGAAGGTGACTAGCTAGTTCGTCAGTAAGTTAGTCAGGTGATTACCTGGTTAGTCAGTAAGTAGGTTAATAAGGCGGTCAGCCGGTTCGTCAGTCAGGTGACCAGGCAGTCTGATCTCTCGAAGTGAAGGGCAACTGCTCTTCACGTTAGGTGAACGGTGCACGGATGCGGATATCACAGAGCTACTTCTGATAACCCCCCCCCCCCCTTCACGTGACTTCTTTACAAACCCGGGGCCCTCTCCATCTCGGGCGGCAGGCGGCACTGCGCCAGGGAGACTGGAAAATCCTGACGGGTGACCCGGGCTATGGCGACTGGGTGCCACCGCAGACGTGGCCGGCATTCCGCGGGAGCTGGTGGGCCCTGGAGCGCGCCGCACCGGCGTGGAGCGGCGGCGGAGGAGGCGGTGTAGGCGGAGGCAGGGGGGGCGTCGTGGAGCCGCAGACACTGTGGCTATTCAACCTGTCGGCCGACCCCTTCGAGCGCTACGATGTTTCAGCGCGACACCCGGACGTGGTGCGGCGCCTGCTGGGCCGACTGGCGGAGTACGCACGCGGCGCTGTCCCCGTGCGCTTCCCTGCTGATGACTCGCGCGCTCACCCGGCACTGCAGGGCGGCGTTTGGGGGCCCTGGCTGCTGCCGCGTGATGGAGGAGCACGGAGAGGTGGAGAGGGGCAGCCCGGTGGTGGCGGCGGTAGCGGTGTCGTCTCAGGATCAGCAGCAGCAGCAGCAGCAGGGGGACGATCACTGGCAGCCACCGTCGCCTACTGCCGGCTGTGCAAGCTGCGCAGCTATCTGCGCAAGTTGCGCGCCGGGCGGACTGCCGCACCGAGTAGATCGTGAGCGGCGCGGGCCGAGCGGGCTTAGCAGGCGTGCAGCGGCACGCGGAGTTCCCAGCTGAGTGGCTCAAGGGAGCGGCGGCATGGCCGTTGGCGCACTTATGCTCAAACAACAAAGCCCGTAAGCCAAGTTCTAATCCCGACCTCGGCTAACGTCGGCGGCGAGAGGTATCAGGAGCGGCACTCCCGCCTCCGCTCTTCGCCAAACCCGCATTGACCAGCGTGGAGAAGTATGGTCAAAATAAATTCACAATGAGACACGGCGTGTGGAGGCCTTTATCCACCATTGGATGTATCAAGGGGACAGTCCAGTGAGCATTTTACTGTGTGGTCGAGTTAAATCGCAGAGAGATTCGACTGAGCAATCACCATCATCACCATCAGATTCTTCTTTGTAGGGTGGATAAAATTAGTCCCACCTTGTGAGGGTGCAAACATGGTTTATTGTGTTGAGAGACTAATCCTTGCCATAGGAATGTGGAATTTTAACCACTGGCTCAAGAACACAAGTGAAGACGAGCACCTCACGGTGACTGCATGACAGAGAATTCAACACCCGCGTGAGATCCAGGGACTAGCATGGCCAGTCAGAGTCACACCCAAACTCACGCCCAGACTCACGCCCAGCTCAGACTCACTTGCAGACTCATGCCCAGACTCACGCCGAGACTCACACCCAGCCTTGACTCACACCCAGACTCACACCCAGACTCATGCCCAGCCCAGACTCACACCCAGCTCAGACTCACATCCAGCTCAGACTCACTTCCAGTCCAGGCTCACACCCAGACTCACACCCAACCCACTCAGACCCAACCCAGACTCACATACAGTCAACCCAGACTCACACCCACACACCCCAGCAAAACTTTGATGTCACTTCCTAGCCGGAGTCCACGTAAACCATCATTAACGAATGATGCTGGCGGGCATGGAGCTTCGTGTCGACATATAGACGCGTGCATCCATGTAAATAAGATGCGCGTTTCACCGTGAATGGGAAATTGATGACACAAGGCACAGGAGTGCGATTGTAGCCATGCAATTTCAAACTGTGCACCGTATAGTAAATCTATAGAGACCCATAGAGATAAACAGAGATACATAAATACCTATAGAGATGCATTAAAGACAAGCCACAGTAGTGTCATTGTGGCTGTGTAACCCAAACTATAGGCCGTATAGTAAACCTATAGAAACAGATACTTAACAACACATATAGACGCATAAAGATACATTAAAGACGAACTACAGAAGTGTGATTGTGGCCATGCAACACAAACCATATTAAAAACCACTATGGTCTGTGCTCCTTCAATAGAAGACGAGGAGGAACAGCAAACTAGACGAACTCTCTCTGCTGAAGCTCTCTAGTCGTGGCGAGTTGCAGATCTCGACAATGGGTATCCAGCTCCTGAACATAGTGCTGCTGCCATCACGCGCAAGGACATAATAGAATTGGGCGCGTTAGCGAGCGAAGGATCGCGACGCCGTGGACTCCAAGGCCAGTGTGATGTACGGGACCCGCGTGTCCGGCGTGATGTACGGGGACCCACGTGCCCGGTATGACGTACAGGACCCACGTGCCTAGTAGACGTGCAGGGACCACGTGCCCAATATGACATACGGGACCCGCGTGCCCCGTGTGATGTACAGGACCCGCGTGCCCGGTGTGACGTACGGGAACCACGTACCTAGTGTGTCGTATGGGACCGGCGTGCTTGAACACGATGACTATGATATTGTGAGTTTTAATAAAACCAAAGTGGTTTGTGAATGTACAAGGTACCAGGTGTTGTTTACATCACCAATTAAAATATATTCGTCCATGACAAGGACAAAAATGTCTCGTATCGCGTTGTACTGACTTTTTGGGAAAGTGCTGTTAGTGAATACCTATGAAGGCCGGCACGGCACACGTGGGGGTGGGTGGCCAGAACCACGCCCAGCCGCCTTCATCTTCCTAGTAGCGATGTTTACACACGTCAGCAGGTAGTGGGTGGTGGTACCAGTCTGGAGAGACCTTCGCCCAGCATCGGGTCCATCATTGCTGACAATGACGATGAAGACGGTTTGTGCGTTGCACTGGGGCAATTGCACGTCGTAAACATTGCTACTGCTTTTGAACAAAGGTCCCTTTCGGAAGACGCGTTTGTGTGACTCCCATAAGAGACGGGTGGACTGGCTGGGTCGAGTGGTGGACACTCACGAGGGGGACGACGATGATGATCGAGAAGATCGGTTCGTCCGGGCACGAGACCGCGTGGCGTAGCGGCAGATGTCTGCACGCGGTCCCTGCTCTGCACGCGTCAGGCGCCTCCGCTCACTCGAACCATGAAGCCCGGCCACAGGAGTCGCTCCTCCCCTCTCCCTCGCTTCCCCGACACTCACAACACCCACCGGGCGCATTGCACAACCACCTCGTTCAAATTCTGGTATATTCTAAAAAAACAAACAGTTAAAGCGATTCCGTGTTAGAGTGAGCACTGAGGCGGAGCCCTGAGCAAGTCGTGCAAATTCCTCATTCCTGTGGCGAGGGCGATTCTATGCATAGGACAACCACTGTTAAATTTCCTACTAAAGCGGTACTCATTTTGATTGACCACTGAGGGATGAATAGGGTATGACGGGCTGAGAAGTGCAATTTGCGAGCCACTATCCCGGAGCCGCCCTGGTGGATCAGTTCCTGGCAGCGGCAAAAGTGTAGTTTTAGTGACGGGCAGACAGCGTAAATCACACTCCGAACTCATCGTCGTCTAAACTAACGCGACTGCCATCCAAACCCTAGCAGAACCAAACCAACGCGAATCCCATCACTACCAATTGTGCTCAAATATAGAACTGTGAATTATTATTATTATTTCGGCAGGTCGGGGTACAGCAGGAAGCCGGAGAAGGTGGTGTCGGCCTGAGTCTCCGCCGCCAGCTTGCTGTGCCCAGCCTCCGCCTGGATCCACACGGAGTCTCCCTTCCGTAGGCGCAGCACGGAGCCGCCCGCCAATGAGTACATGGTGGCCGCCGTCGCTGTCGCCGTCCCCGTGGTCGAGGCACCAGTGCCAGTGGCGGACTTGAACTGGACGGCATTCCCGTTGTGCCGCAGGGAGAAGCGGCTCGCCCCAGTGCCGCCCGTCAAGTGGAAGTCAAAGTAGTAGACCCCGGGGACGACGCACATGAACTTGCCGGTGGACACGTCGTAGTGGCCCTGGTCGTTGTACGCTACCTTGGTGAACTTGAGGGGTGCGCCGCTCGTGGGGTTGGTGGACGCGGCCAGGCCGATGGTGAAGGCTGACCTCAGGCCGAGGACAACGCCATCGTCCTTCGATGCCTTTTCGGCCGGCGGTCCGCGCTCTCCTTTGGCGCCAGGAAGACCGATCGGGCCGACGGGTCCTGTAGTTAAACAACAATAAAAAAAACACGAGTTGAGATGACAATTATTATAATGACTCACACACGATTGTGTTATATTTAAGAAGTCAAGATTATTTCATATACATCACAGGCGACCATGCTCGGACTGGCCTTAGGGCATTCTGGACAACTGCCCGGTGGGGCCAGTCCATTTCGAGGCCTGGTGGGCCGGTCTGTGTGGGGAAATTGCAAATATGAGAGTAAAAAAAGAATATAGATACAAATATTTGTAAACATTTGACCTTCATTGCTTTTTTTAATGCTCTCAGTTGGCATTAAGTCCCATATTTGGCAGCCTCAAAGATTCTTCCTCACCGGCTCATTTGTATTTTACAACCAGCCCAAATGGGCCAAATGAGATAGCACGGCAATTTGGGCCAGGTGTGTTTACAAATTACTGGGCCGATTTTTAGTCCCAATCTAATCACTGCAGGCGACATTCCAGCAGACATTTCACCTCTCTGGCCTCTCTATGTGCTGTGGTGAATGAAGGTCATTGTCCAAAACGTCGCCTATGATATGCGTTTCCTATTGAGGAACGTTCAGGATCACGGGTGTGGCGACTCCAGCATTTCACTGTGAATTGCTCGACAATTTGTTTCACAGCGATTACAACATTTCACCTCGGTGACCACTTGGGATCGATCATATCTCCAGGGCGTCGAGTGACAAGTGTGCATAGCAATAACGTCACGACACGTGTACACACACACACGTTAAATCCTTGACTTACATAGTCACGCATTTACACAACGAATATCAATGCAGTCGGTGATTTTGTGGTGCCACGGCCTCGATGCCACTCTGCAAGCGCCGCGAGCACCCCCCTCCCCGGCCCCCACACTGAGTACAGACACGCAGCGCACACACATAATGTCCTGGCGTGGGATTGCTTGGCACAACGGGGTTTAATCCGAAGGGTGCCTATGAGGAAGGTCCCACGGTTTCCCGAAATGCAGAGAAGGCAACCCAATAAACTGTTTGTGTGTCTGTCTTTGTGTCTCTGTGTCTTGTCTCTCTCTCAAATGTCACACAACTTCTAATTTAGCAATCTTTGGAAGAACGTAATCAACCAGGCTATGCGTTGATTCTGTGTTGACCGACTCTCTGTGTTGCATTGCATTACATTTCAAAAATTTGCTAAGATTGTTTAAGTGTATTTTCTCTCTCTCCGTGTGTCATCGTGTTGTTGCTTTATTATTTCCTGCAGTCACGAAAGCTTAAAATCTCTAATTGACATGCTAATTTCTCTACCCCCCCCCCTCTCTCTGCCCCCTCTCTCTCTATTTAAGGCCTCGACACAGAGGCATTGTTTCTCTGTGTGCCTTTCTATGCATGTCTCTCTCTCTGTGTGCCTCTGTTATATCTCTCTGCTTATGTGTCTGTCTGTGTGTCTCCGTGTCTGTGTTTTGTCTCTCTCTCAAATTTAGCAATCTTTGGAAGGACGTAATCAACCAGGTAGAGTGTTGACTGTTATGTTAGCCGACTCTCTGTGTTGTATTGCATTGTATTTCTAAGTTTACAAGGTTTGTTTTATTTTTCATTTGTACCTGATGATGATTGCTTGTGTTACAATCGAAACGTCGAATGCTATTATTTAATTACATTTTCTTTCTACGTGACTTTACCGAAAGAACCAAAGAGTAATTCCTGCAGTCATGAAAGCTCCAAATCAAGTTTGAGATGGAAAGCCGAGAAATGGAGGCAGAGAAACATTTAACTCATGCAGCAGGCAAGGACGAATCCACTTGTAGATAAGAGGGCCGATTTTTGTTTGCAGTTTGTATGTTCTCCCCCAGTTCTGGATGGCCTTCCTTCGGGTTATCCGGATTCTTACCAAAGCTAAACATCCGCACGAATTTGTTTTGGTGTTGACCAAAGTTCCAGTGATAGCAGAACTCTGCTGCTATAAACGTCCACACAATAAACAACGCAGTTGAACTATAATTTGTGACCAGGTCGATTATGAAAGAAAACAGCTACGGTATAGAGCTCAGTGGGCTTTACCTGGAAAAATAACGATTGTTGTTTTACTCTCCTTAAAAATTAGTTTTCGGACTCGATGTGGGTAAATATGCGATGATATGAATGATAATAAACCTGCTGCTCCCTTCTCTCCGTTCTGCCCGTGGACACCATGTTGTCCATCGCGCCCCGGGAGGCCGGGCTGCCCTGGGCTGCCCGGTACTCCGGGGCAACCGCACCGGCAGTGCTCCTCCGCCTTCCCGCCTCCGAGCGTCGCAACCACCATCAGCGCCAGGGTGCAGGACGCCAACCACATCGCCATCGGAGGGAGCATCTGTTAGCAAATACCACGCAACATACCCATTCAAGAAGACCATTTTGACCTCCTTGGTTTAATAAACTGTTGATTATTAAAACTATAAACTATTTTTATTTTACCAGGTAAGGTCCATTGAGCTATATAGCTCTTTTCCAGAAACGACCTGGCCACAAATGATAGCCCAACAGAGTGACTTATGGTGTGGAATGTATCGCAGCCAAATGCTCGAAACGCGTGTAAATGTGGAGGAAAAAAACCCAGAGAACCCGGAGAAAAATCCACGCAACCACGGGGAGAAAGACACGCGAACTCCAAATATAGAGGCGTCAGGGTTTGGATCGAACTCACGACCTCCTGTACACCAGGCGAGATAGTTAACATCTCCTAGCCACCATGATGATTATGAGAGAGAGACACGCAAACTCCAAATTTATAGGCGTCAGGGTTTGGATCGAACTCACGACCTCCTGTACACCAGGCGAGATAGTTAACATCTCCTAGCCACCGTGATGATGATGAGAGAGAGAGAGAGAGACACGCAAACTCAAAATATAGAGGCGTCAGGGTCTGGATCGAACTCACGACCTCCTGTACACCAGGCGAGATAGTGAACATCTCCTAGCCACCGTGATGATGATGAGAGAGAGAGAGAGACACGCAAACTCAAAATATAGAGGCGTCAGGGTCTGGATCGAACTCACGAGCTCCTGTACACCAGGCGAGATAGTTAACTTCTCCTAGCCACCGTGATGATGTTGAGAGAGAGAGAGACACGCAAACTCCAAATATGGAGGCGTCAGGGTCTGGATCGAACTCACGACCTCCTGTACACCAGGCGAGATAGTGAACATCTCCTAGCCACCGTGATGATGATGAGAGAGAGGGAGACACGCAAACTCCAAATATACAAGCGTCAGGGTTTGGATCTAACTCACGACCTCCTGTACAACAGGCGAGATAGTGAACATCTCCTAGCCACCGTGATGATGATGAGAGAGAGAGAGAGAGGGAGACACGCAAACTCCAAATATACAAGCGTCAGGGTTTGGATCTAACTCACGACCTCCTGTACAACAGGCGAGATAGTTAACATTTCCTAGCCACCGTGATGATGATGAGAGAGAGAGAGAGAGACACGCAAACTCCAAATATAGAGGCGTCAGGGTCCGGAACGAACTCACGACCTCCTGTACACCAGGAGAGAGAGTTAACATCTCCTAGCCACCGTGATGATGATGAGAGAGACACGCAAACTCCAAATATAGAAGCGTCAGGGTCTGGATCGTACTCACGACCTCCTGTATACCAGGCGAGATAGTATACATCTCCTAGCCACCGTGATGATGAGAGAGAGAGACACGCAAACTCCAAATATAGAGGCGTCAGGGTCCGGATCGAACTCACGACCTCGTGTACACCAGGAGACAGAGTTAACATCTCCTAGCCACCGTGATGATGATGAGAGAGAGAGACACGCAAACTCCAAATATAGAGGCGTCAAGGTCTGGATCGAACTCACGACCTCCTGTACACCAGGCGAGATAGTTAACATCTCCTAGCCACCGTGATGATGATGAGAGAGAGAAACGCAAACTCCAAATATAGAGGCGTTAGGGTCTGGATCGAACTCACGACCTGCTGTACACCAGGCGAGATAGTGGGTCTGGATCGAACTCACGACCTGCTGTACACCAGGCGAGATAGTTAACATCTCCTAGCCACGTGATGATGATGAGAGAGAGAGAGAGACACGCAAACTCCAAATATACAAGCGTTAGGGTTTGGGTCGAACTCACGACCTCCTGTACACCAGGCGAGATAGTTAACATCTCCTAGCCACCGTGATGATGATGACAGAGAGAGAGAGAGACACGCAAACTCCAAATATACAAGCGTCAGGGTTTGGATCGAACTCACGACCTCCTGTATACCAGGCGAGATAGTTAAACGTCTCCTAGCCACCGTGATGATGATGAGAGAGAGAGAGAGACACACAAACTCCAAATATACAAGCGTCAGGGTTTGGATCGCACTCACGACCTCCTGTACACCAGACGTGATAGTTAACATCTCCTAGCCACCGTGATGATGATGAGAGAGAGAGACACGCAAACTCCAAATATACAAGCGTCAGGGTCTGGATCGTACTCACGACCTCTGTATACCAGGCGAGATAGTTAACATCTCCTAGCCACCGTAATGATGAGAGAGAGAGAGACACGTAAACTCCAAATATAGAGGCGTTAGGGTCTGGATAGAACTCACGACCTGCTGTACACCAGGCGAGATAGTTAACATCTCCTAGCCACCGTGATGATGATGAGAGAGAGAGAGACACGCAAACTCCAAATATACAAGCGTCAGGGTCTGGATCGAACTCACGACCTCCTGTACACCAGGCGAGATAGTGAACATCTCCTAGCCACCGTGATGATGATGAGAGAGAGAGAGAGGGAGACACGCAAACTCCAAATATACAAGCGTCAGGGTTTGGATCTAACTCACGACCTCCTGTACAACAGGCGAGATAGTGAACATCTCCTAGCCACCGTGATGATGATGAGAGAGAGAGAGAGGGAGACACGCAAACTCCAAATATACAAGCGTCAGGGTTTGGATCTAACTCACGACCTCCTGTACAACAGGCGAGATAGTTAACATTTCCTAGCCACCGTGATGATGATGAGAGAGAGAGAGAGAGACACGCAAACTCCAAATATAGAGGCGTCAGGGTCCGGAACGAACTCACGACCTCCTGTACACCAGGAGAGAGAGTTAACATCTCATAGCCACCGTGATGATGATGAGAGAGACACGCAAACTCCAAATATAGAGGCGTCAAGGTCTGGATCGAACTCACGACCTCCTGTACACCAGGCGAGATAGTTAACATCTCCTAGCCACCGTGATGATGATGAGAGAGAGAAACGCAAACTCCAAATATAGAGGCGTTAGGGTCTGGATCGAACTCACGACCTGCTGTACACCACGCGAGATAGTGGGTCCGGAACGAACTCACGACCTCCTGTACACCAGGAGAGAGAGTTAACATCTCCTGGCCACCGTGATGATGATGAGAGAGAGAGACACGCAAACTCCAAATATAGAGGCGTCAAGGTCTGGATCGAACTCACGACCTCCTGTACACCAGGCGAGATAGTTAACATCTCCTAGCCACCGTGATGATGATGAGAGAGAGAAACGCAAACTCCAATATAGAGGCGTTAGGGTCTGGATCGAACTCACGACCTGCTGTACACCACGCGAGATAGTGGGTCTGGATCGAACTCACGACCTGCTGTACACCAGGCGAGATAGTTAACATCTCCTAGCCACGTGATGATGATGAGAGAGAGAGAGACACGCAAACTCCAAATATACAAGCGTCAGGGTTTGGGTCGAACTCACGACCTCCTGTACACCAGGCGAGATAGTTAACATCTCCTTGCCACCGTGATGATGATGACAGAGAGAGAGAGAGAGACACGCAAACTCCAAATATACAAGCGTCAGGGTTTGGATCGAACTCACGACCTCCCGTATACCAGGCGAGATAGTTAAACGTCTCCTAGCCACCGTGGTGATGATGAGAGAGAGAGAAAGACACAAACTCCAAATATACAAGCGTCAGGGTTTGGATCGAACTCACGACCTCCTGTACACCAGGCGTGATAGTTAACATCTCCTAGCCACCGTGATGATGATGAGAGAGAGAGACACACAAACTCCAAATATACAAGCGTCAGGGTCTGGATCGTACTCACGACCTCTGTATACCAGGCGAGATAGTTAACATCTCCTATCCACCGTAATGATGAGAGAGAGAGAGACACGTAAACTCCAAATATAGAGGCGTTAGGGTCTGGATAGAACTCACGACCTGCTGTACACCAGGCGAGATAGTTAACATCTCCTAGCCACCGTGATGATGATGAGAGAGAGAGAGACACGCAAACTCCAAATATACAAGCGTCAGGGTTTGTATCGAACTCACGACCTCCTGTACACCAGGCGAGATAGTTAAACGTCTCCTAGCCACCGTGATGATGATGAGAGAGAGAGAGACGCAAACTCCAAATATACAAGCGTCAGGGTTTGGATGGAACTCACGACCTCCTGTACACCAGGCGAGATAGTTAACATCTCCTAGCCACCGTGGTGATGATGATGAGAGAGAGAGAGACACGCAAACTCTAAATATACAAGCGTCAGGGTCTGAATCGAACTCACGACCTCCTGTAGACCAGGCGAGATAGTTAATATCTCCTAGCCACCGTGATGATGATGACAGAGAGAGAGAGAGACACGCAAACTCCAAATATACAAGCGTCAGGGTTTGGATCAAACTCACGACCTCCTGTATACCAGGCGAGATAGTTAACGTCTCCTAGCCACCGTGATGATGATGAGAGAGAGGGAGAGAGACACGCAAACTCCAAATATAGACGCGTCAGGGTCTGGATCGAACTCACGACCTCCTGTATAACAGGCGAGATAGTTAACATCTCCTAGCCACCGTGATGATGATGAGACACGCAAACTCCAAATATGGAGGCGTCAGGATCTGGATCGAACTCACGACCTCCTGTACACCAGGCAAGATAGTGAACATTTCTCCTAGCCACCGTGATGATGATGAGAGAGAGAGACACGCAAACTCCAAATATAGAGGCGTCAGGGTCTGGATCGAACTCACGACCTCCTGTATACCAGGCGAGATAGTTAACATCTCCTAGCCACCGTGATGATGATGAGAGAGAGAGACACGCAAAATCCAAATATGGAGGCGTCAGGGTCTGGATCGAACTCACGAACTCGTGTACACCAGGCGAGATAGTGAACATCTCCTAGCCACCGTGATGATGATGAGAGAGAGACACACGCAAACTCCAAATATAGAGGCGTCAGGGTCTGGATCGAACTCACCTCCTGCTGTACACCAGGCGAGATAGTGGGTCTGGATCGAACTCACGACCTCCTGTATACCAGGCGAGATAGTTAAACGTCTCCTAGCC